GAGCCAAATTTCAACTCAAAGACATATGCCCAAACTAATAGCTAATTTATCACTAAGTTGACAGTAATTCTCAACACTTTAATAAAAACATGATTCTGAACTTCAATGGAAGGCAATAGAGTTGCTTCCTCTACTGTAAAGAAAATACAGGTACCTTTCAAAAGAAAGGAACACAACACTAGACATTTTTTTCTAAAAACAAAAACAAAAAACAAACAAATAAATAATACTTTAATGTCACTTGGACTAACAATACAGCCAACTAGGCAATAGAAACAATAATACCAAAAACATTGTAATTGAGAAATACAACAGCCAGTAACTGACATTTGCACAACAGTTTAAAAAAAAATTGAAAATAACATTGATCAACAAAATATTTTCATCGGTAAAAATAAGAGATTCAATCCAGGAAAGGTTAACACAAGAAATCATGTCAAGCCAGTTTTGAAGCCCATGATCAAATGACAATAGAAAGCAGAAGTAAATAAAATTAGGTGATGTATTGTTTAAAACAAATTCTTTTGAGACTATAAAGAGAAACATATGCTGTGAAAAATTGTACCTGGACGACAAATATATGCATATAAGTAACACCAAATGATGCAATTGACATCTGGCAATCCAACAGAAGCAATTCAATTGAAAACTGTCCTTCACTTTTGTGATAGATACTAACCATCTCACAACAGCATCACATGAAAAATTTACAATGGTTTGCAACTGGCACAGTGCCTTGCAAGTAATTTGTCATGTGGTTAATCACGAAAAACAAGACAAATAGTCTCCTACTAAAACTGATTTCTCATTCACATTCAATACCAGTAATCAAGCACACCAGTAGCAAACTTCCACTTTCTAGTACAGGAGACTACCACACATGTGTACATGCACATATCATATGGACAACTGAAAGCTCTGCAAAATGCAAAGCAGGTGTCGAAATATCAAATTAAAGGAGAGGAAATGCCTAATAGATATGCGACCTTAGTTACAATACAAAGCATACATGATGAAGACTGCAATAGACTAACTGGACTGGTAATCACAAATAATTATGAATAACAGAAGGTAAAAATGAATGCTTCAAGTCAGGAAAACCAACAGTAATGATGCTACCAATACTTAAATGGTGCAATCAGTCCAGGAAAAAGACCAAAGTTAGGTAAGTGAGCAAAAGACCACAATTTGCTCTAAACTAAAATTAGAAAGAATACTTCAAACTTTGAGAGCACACATAGACTTACAATGAAAATGCAACATCATTAGCCTAGCATGTTCAAATTAACCTGTGAATGCTTACCAGAAACTTAACCCTGTCACGAAATCTATATTGGGGACGTAAAAAATCAACCATATACTCAGGAAATCTCATATGCATAACAAGTTATTGCTCTACGCCCTCATATAAAATATAAATCCTTAGGAACAAAAAATACAAGATGTGCTGATGTGCATGCATCAGGAAGATTGTTCTGCAGTGTAACAGTATATAATGTCCACAGAACTGACTAGAACTTTATCGTAATTAGTTTCAGCTAGGCTGATATCTAACTAGGGTTGACCAAAAAGTTCATATTCTAATATTAAGTAGAATAGAAACTATCCATAAATGCTTGGGTTACCTTAAGATCTAATAAAAGATTGTATGTCTATCTTTAACATCAAAACAGACAAAACTACAAAAAAATAAATAGCAAACCAAGCTAGAAGGATGAACAGTGAATCTTCATATGAAAACGTCTAGGTTAATATCACATTTAATGAAGCAGCCAAACCAAGCTGCACTGGACTTTTCCACTCCCAAATATGCTCTGTAGACTATGAACTTTTGTATCAACCCTATGGCACTATTAAGATTCCACATTAGAAGAACAGGAGAATAAATTAAAATGGGTTTGCAATATTATAACTATACATGCAAAGTTTTGGTTTGGTAGAATCATTAAAAAATTCATCACATGATAGCCTGTGGCAGTAAAGAACTATTTTTCATTAACACATTTGGAAAAAATAAAGTTAATGAATTTATTTCCCCCCAACTTAGAGCGTGTGCTGCACATTTAGCTGAGCATGCACAGGCAGCATGGAGCTTAGAACTAAGAATTGTGACAGCAAATGACAAGTTAGTTTAGAATTAGGGTAATAAAAAAAAGGTTGCACTGCAGACAATTAACAGGTAAAAGAGGCCGCAGCTCAGCTGTTGTACATGATCACAACGCCCATCAGTTGATAAATTAGTCCTGCCCGTGAGTAGTTACTTAAACATGCATCCCTCCCTAGGCACAATCAGATGAAAGTAACTACCCACTGGCAAGCAACAGCGCAGACTAGCTTCCAGCCCTTTTTAGCTCTCTGAGATGAATTATGTAAGAACAGGGTGTAAAAAACATGACAGTAAATGAGGACATGGAAATGTCAGCTATTTCGTCTGATACTCGAGAGATTCTCATCAAGATGGTATTGTAAATAAAGGCTTGCCTACAAAACACACCTTCAAAGAGGAGAAGAAATCCTTCGGTCCACAAGATACTGAGTAAAACTCATGCACAGAACTGGGATTGTCAAAGAGCAGCAAACATTTACAACTGCAATGAGAGATTAAAATAAAACAGAAGGCTGACTGATGAGAAACATAATAATAATGGAACTTACAAGCCCTTATTTACATACAAATGTACCAAGCAAAACATGCAACAGCACATGGACTCACTAGTTCCAAAACAACCAGCAGTCAAGACCAAACACATCAGATCAATAAACAAAATGGAAAAACAATTTGTGATTGGTCACACAAATAAATAACAAAATCATTTGAAAACAATAAATCTGCCATAGCACAACTCACAGCTAAACAGGAAGCATCAGTTGACCAGTACTGTTGACTAGAGAAACAGCCAGACAACGTCCAGTTCTAATAAAACTAATATAAACAAAAACATAAAAATGAAACAACAGAAATGTGTTTACCACATCAATACATTTAGATCACATTAACTATTGAATAATCATTATCATAAATAATGATAGATGAAAATGCATTATGAAGGTTTTTTTTTAAATATTTATACAAAGATCTAAAACTGTGTATTAACAAATAAATTAATACAGAATTATATGATGAACTTTTTCATATTTTTCTCAAACAATCAAAGATTATGATGCATACTGCTAGACTGAGGACACAACTAACCCAGAATTAAGTTGTTATGTCACTTAATAACAAACACCCGTAACACCCAAGACCTAACAGTACAAACGGAGTGGGGAAATCCCAGTAGGGTAGGCCTCTTCTTTTCCCATATTGGAAGCTTAGAACCGTGCAAATCAGACATATTTCATGGTGCCCAAATGTCTGGTCGAACACCTATATAAGTATACAGTACTTACATTAGGTAGGTATGTAGCATCTTATCATATCAGTACTATATAGTGTCTTGTGCGCGTATCTTGGGCGAGTCAGTCAACGCCCCAACTCTCTGCTTCTGCTGATAAACCTAATATAATCTATACTACACATTACTATGCTAAACTACACAGCATGTACAATTCAAACAATACATATTTACTGGATCATACAACAAGACTGACTTGAAATCTTTGCAAAGTCTATGAAGTCAGAATGTTCTATGAAAAAGGACCTTACAGACACTTTCATAAGACAAAATGAAAAAATTCAAAATGAACATTTGTGATCTTGTAAGCACTTAATTTCTATATTGAATATTTTCTTGCAGTTTTAAATGCATACCTAATAGGTGGAGCACGATAACAGGAATACGCTTCCTTAGTTTAAATTTTAAAACTTTTCCCTTCCAAACTACACTTACTAGCGGATGGTAACACCAAAACACTAAAACACCAGGTGGAGTTACAGGAGATACTTCAAGCAGGGTTTAGGTAACCAAAGGCAGGTTCAATCCTCTACCTACTCTAAGTTAGGCATCAAACAACACTTTGGAAGGCTCTGATAAGTCATGCCCACCTAACAGACAGATCTGATGGCAGGACACTAAACTCTGACAATCCTCAAAATTTGAATGACTTATGGGGGAAAAAAAGAATTAAATAAAAGAAAAGGTACAGCAGAGTTTCATAAGAGAATACCCTGTAAGTACCCAATAGCACCAACAATGCATGCCACGTGGCATAGTCAGTCACACAGTAATAGAGGTATGTAAGAGTAATAAGTGCCTTGCTAGCAGATCTTCTGGAGAAAGATTTAAACCCAAAACCAGTTGGACAAACATTCCTTGAGAAATAATGACTCAATACTGGGAATGAGTTTTAACATAATAATGCCCTGCCACAGGCCTGGTGTTTATTTAAGCAACTATGTCAGTGACAGGAGCACTACTTTACGCAAGTCAGAAGCAGACATGTGCTACCAACGTACGCACATGGCAGGCTGTGAAATCACTGACAATGACTGCTCTCAAACAGACAAGCATTGGTCAGCATCACAAAAATAGTGAAAGGCAATCAGCTTGTTAAAACAAAACTAGGCTGGTGTTGACTGAAAGCGTCCTGGATTGAAATCAGGATTAACAAAAGAGAAGCCCTTAAACTCGTCTTGATTGATCGACCGAACAACATCAGCATTGATTGGTGTAAGAACAGGCTCCTCCTTAGTAAATTCGGTATCAAAGTTGAGGGCATCTTTCTTGTTTTTCTGAAAAGGTACAAAAAGCTTGTAATTAGTGGGGAATTTCAAGAAAACAAGACCTATCAATTTGAACAATTAAGTTGTTTTAAAGATAGGCACAGTTGAATACTTACAATCTTTGGTTTAAAGGGTGGCTTGACTCGTCTGCATTCCAAAGCCTCCCAATCCATATCTCTAAAGAATGGATGGGTTCGGATGGCAGCTTCAGTACCTTGAGATGCTACACATCCTAGTCGTTTAGCTGGATTCTTCGTCATGAACTAGTTAAAAAAAGCAGTATAGGAAAAAAAATTAGAACAATTTGAAAAAAAAAAACAAAATAAGATTTGTTGTAAAGATACACTAGAAAGGACCTGTATATGTTTGTTTCTTACCCCTTTAAGTATTGATACAGCCTCTTTGCTGAGCCAAACTGGATACAAAACATCATCATGCAATATTGACTCAAACAAATCGTCCTCATTGTCAGCTTCAAAAGGTGGTTGTCCCGCCATCATTTCATACATCAACACGCCTAAAGCCCACCAGTCAACACTGGGGCCATAATCCAATTCTTGGAGAATCTAGAGGTAGAAATAAAGTAAACAATAAAAAAGAATTATTTTTTTTATACCTAGGCTATGACTCATTAACTTAAAAATTGTCCGTATTGAACGCCTAAAGTTACCTCAGGAGCTATATAGTCAGGAGTTCCACAAAATGTTGTGGTTGTGACACCATCAATGATTCCTTCCTTGCACATACCAAAATCAGCAAGTTTGCAGTGCCCTTCATTGTCCAATAAAATGTTGTCAAGTTTCAAGTCTCTGTACAGAAAAGGACATTATTGTTAAACTGAAAGGTTACCAGATTTCAGTTTCAATTTGTACACGTTTCCTCATTTGACATTACCTGTACACAACGCCATGACGATGAAGAAACTGAAGTGCGAGTGTAACTTCAGCAGCATAGAAACGTGCTCGGGGCTCATCAAACTTCCTTGCTCTTTGAATTTGAAACATCAAATCTCCACCATTGACATATTCCATCACAAAAAAAAGACGATCCTAAGTGCAGAACGAAGGAGAGGCATATATGATACCAATACTTGTAAAGTAATCAAATTTGGAGAAATTCATGGCTAACTCACCTTGGTTTGAAAACAGGAATGAAGTGCTGTAAGAAATGGATGCTTGGCGGCCAGCGCCAAAATACGTTTCTCTGTCATAGTACAATCAACATCTTCGTCTTGAATGATTACATCCTTTTTGAGCACCTACAAAAGAAAAAGTTGGTGAAAAATACAAAATTTGAGCTTAAAGTGTACTAGTATAAAACTCAAGAGTTTGTGACATACCTTGACAGCATAGACTTCATCAGTGCCTCTTTTCTCACCAAGCATGACCTTACCAAAACTACCTTTCCCAAGAACTTTAATAAAATGGAAATCTTCAAGGCCTACTTTCCCTTTACCACCACTCGCTTTTTCTGTGGAATCTGGTAGCGTATTTGCTGGCCGCCCTTTAGAAAATGTAATTGTAATTAGGGTGGTGAAAGATGAAACAAGGTAGTAGTTACAATTTTAATGGTTAATTTAAGTTGAAACTGACCTTTCTCTGGTTGTTCAAGGTCTTTTGTCTTTTCACGCATTTTCTCTTCCATTGCCATCTGAGCAGCAAGCCTCATAGTAACTTCATCATCATCAGTACCACCTTCATCAGATAGTGGAGCAAGAGCACCTCCACTACCTGGACGATCACTTCCTGAGCCACCTCCAGCAGCACCAGGTTGAGTTGTACACTTGGAGCGTCTAGGAGCCAATTTGTCGGTGGAAATACCCATTTGTGAAAGTAATTGGGCCATTTGCTTTGGGTTGATGCCACAGTTGTTTGCAACATTTTTCTCGCAGCGTTTGTGAACATTCAGTTTACAAGCTACAAGATAAAATTTTAGCACAATTTGCACATGTTTTCACATTTTATAAATAGTATACTTGGAATGCATTTTTAATTTCTTACCTTCACATTGAAGTCCCTGCCTTATCAGACCATAGAGTAGGGACCCACAATGATCACAAAATGTAAAACGTTTAAAACTGTGTGTCACAAAACGATGGGGTACATTTACATTAAATCGCTGGCCTTGTGTCCCTTGTGCAGCCTGTAGACAAAGTAACAAATCAGTATTTAAACTAATAAAAATGACCAATGCTTTTCCTGAACATCCAATAAATGGTAGAAAGCTACAAACTATTGCTTGAACCTTGAAGCATAGTAATAAATTTGTCTGGACATAGCAAGTTAACATAATACAGGTAAAAAGCACATCTATCTATAGAAGATTACTACTACGGGCTACTAACCCGCTGCACAGGCTTCTTGGGTTCATTTTCATGCAGTCAACTTAACATTAGGTGACATAGCCACAGTTCTGCGCAAATTCTTGTACTTCACACACATGCAAGAAGAATTTGTCTTGAAGAATCAGTTGAACCATCACTACTCTACACCAGGTAAAACATTCATGTAAAGATGTAAAACAAAACAGTGGATAAACAAAACTGTCTGATGCATATGTAATTCAAAAAAAGTCTGGGAAAAAATCCAACTGTGATAACTGAAGTACATTAAATGAAATGAAACAGTTTGTGCTCAGCAGCCTCATAAGTCTCAGTGTTAACTTTATAATCTGTATGTGGCTGCAATATCATTAATAGAAGATAAAAATTAAACAATAAAAGCAATTAATCTCTAAGACTGTTATGCTTATTGATAACAAAATCTACTACAAATTGTAAATGAAGCTCATGCAGAACAACACAGAACACCACATGCAACCACCCAAACCACCACCAGTACAACCACCACCTGATGACCAGATGTAACCATAGAGGTGGTTCTACCTTGTGTGTGGGGTGGGTGCTACGACGATGCTGCACCTGAACCACCCTCACCTCGTCTTGTGTACTATCTTTAAGGCCAGGGCATTTTGTCAACACCTGGTTATGGCAACGTTTATGCACTACACATGTGCAGACTGAAAAATAAAGTGTTCATTAAACATACCTGTTAGGTAAAAGAGAGGTTCTCAAATTAATTTAAAAAAAATATACATAGGGTAAAAAAAATGTACCTTGACATTGATATCCCTGTTTGCCAAGACCCCTAAAAAAATTACAAAACAGAGTTAGAAAAAACAAAGATGTGGAAACAACTGCAGAAATAGGATAAAAACGTCACTATAACAACTACACAGGTAAACAAAAAATATGCACCATATAAAATCACGGCAGTGAGAACAAAATGTAGGTTGTCTCAAAAATGTGGCCATAAACTTGTGTCCATTGAACTGGTGTACACGTCTCCGCATAGCACCTCGTCTCCTGTTGAAACCTTGGCGCTCCTTGAACTCCCTTGGCTTCTGTGTTTGAGGTTCTACAGAGAAAATAGTACACAAATCAGTTAAAGGTAGATGAGAAGTTTTGGGAAGTAAAAAACTCACAACCAGTATTGTACCTTGAGCAGCCCATTTTAAATCGATTTGTAACCGCAGTCTTCCTTGAGGTTCTAAATCGACCTGAAAGTTAGAAACAGCCATCATTTAATGCACTTAATAATGTAATCTAGTCACTAAAGATTTTCCTCATGGGGAACAATAAAGTTATTAATTTAATCTCATGGGAACATTTTAAATGCCGTAAACAATTTTCTATGGAATCTGCAGTACTACATTATCACATGAAATAGAGAGTACATAATATGCCAATCCAGCAAACATGTTGATTCTGACTCCAAAAATGTATTCATCAAACAGTTTACAAAAAAGGACATTAGTGAAATAAAAATTTACACTTGGAAACCACAGAAAAGATCTCTATAAAGTTCAAGTTAGGGATTTTAAAATAAAAGGCAGTATTTGGAGAAGGTGGGTTTTGGGACCCTCTGACCCACAAAATTTCTCAGAAAAAACAGAAAAACCAAACATTTTAACTAAAAGTTGTAGAATCAATGAAAACTAGAAAGACAGCTTCTAGCAGAAGAACTATACAGTATTCCAAAGAGGTGGAATGCGTCTTCTGCTAGTGCACTTGTCAGTCTTGAGTCACATGTAAACACAACTGGCCAAGACCCAGCCTAGACCACACAACCTCTTACCCTACATTCTGACAGGCAATACACGACTATCCTTACCCAAAAGTCCGAGGCGTCTTTGTCTCTTTGAAGAAGATCTTCGAAAGGGATGGTGCAGTTGGCCACGAAATCGTCTGGAGGGATCGCAGCATCGTGAAACACTGTGAGCCCGAGGTTCACAGCGCTCTGCACGTCGTGCGAAAATGACTCTCCCCATACTGGATCAAAAGTCTTTGGTTTGGTCGTAGACCGATCCAAATGATTCTCGTCGACATCTATGGCCACGTATGGGTCTATAGGTTGATCATCGGGCTTGCCAAATGTCATATTATGTCGTTTTTGGAAGTCGGTCGGTCTCAACCCTGAAGCCTGGCATATCGTCACCTTCACCGTTCCAGTGAACATTGGCAGCAGCAAACCAGCAACCCCTCAAAAACCTTGCAAACACGGTCCTCAAATGACTCAAGAAACTGAAGCGAGTATTAACTGCATAGAAAAACACTTGGAAAAACAGCTAAACATAAGATTTTCTTGACGGCCATGAAGGTCGATTTTGATAAAAATTCACTGCACAGTGCACCTTAATTAGCTATCCCACAATGCCTTTCGTTACGTCAGAGTGAAGGCACGGCCCCGTAGACATTTTCACTGGGCTCGCGCAAGCGCAAACACGTTCGTACGGGTTCGTACATAAAATTGTTAAAATATTTGACACAATTTATACGTGACATTGTCCGTCTCAAAAGTGACTGTATGGACAGCAAAACTCCAATGAGTTATTTCAATGACACTCCAGGCAATCCGAAAAAATCAGAGGGGAAGGGGGGGGGGGCTCTCTGCTTGTCTTCCCTCTAGCTCTAGACGCACTTCTCGCACTTCCCTCTCATCGCTCTCCTCATTTTGAAGCCTCAATTCTACATCGCTTACACAAATTGCATACTTCTATACTTATCAAAGCATTCAAACTGTTCTCTGTTTGTTAATCATGCGAGAACGGCGCGGCCGAGCGGAGATTATCACTCTCAGCGAGTAACTCAGATGACATGCCCAATGATGTTTGACATTCTTTTTAGTTATTTTCAATGGTTTCACTTCGTTGAGTAATTCGCCAGCAAATAGTTTATTTGGAAAAAAGCTGTTGTAGGTTCTGTTAATTCTATACTCTGATATTCGTATGAGCGAAACTGAAAGATTTATTACGGTTTCTCGTTAAACAGAGACTAATACCATCATTTTAAAGTAGTTGTCTGAACTGTGTGATTATTTATTAAATTGAGCAGGCCGATTCCATATTAGTGGGAAGAAGGAATTGTTTATGAATACGACTCCAACCCTGCAACTCTGGCAGCTTTCGGTCTTTCGGTGAGACCGAAAGCGCGCCTAGATTGTGATTGTGGGCGTCCAATGAGATCAGATCGGGGAGGGGAGAGGAAAGGAAAGAGAAGAGAAGAGGGAAGTTATCTTTACGATCTACGACATCATTTTTGGTAAGCTTCATATGTCTTCTTGCAGACGCTGTTAAAAATAATGCGGCACGTTTCAATTACTAACAATTGCCACACTTTTTGCTCTCAAATCGTGTTCTTGTCTAGCTCCTAACTCCCATTTTCATACCTCTTCACCGGCGCCATTGGCGATGCTAGGTTTCAGTTCTTGTCTGCTGGTGTGTTAAAGGAGCGATTAAGCATATATTTTTCATTTTCAACGCATTTTCAGGGATTATCTTTGCAAGAAATTTGTATACTGTAAGTTTACTATTCACTATTTGTTGTTAAATGCCTTGACAGTTGTGCAAACGCGGATTCAGTTATCGTTTGACGATTGATTTTTCCTAACCCCAAAATTGATCTTGAGTTGAAAATTAAACATTTTTCAAGAGTTTCTTGATATTTAACATTGTGTTCACTGATCTTTTAATGGGTTCTATAGCTGTCAAAATTTTGAAGTTATTCGACGGATTTTCATCCCACGTCTCCTTTTAGTGATGAAAAACAGAGTTAGAGTGTTCTGTCTTTCTTAATTTCCTTCATTCTGTTTTCCTCTAGGTTTCAACATGACTGTGAACACAATTCTTTTGGATTTCACCGTCGACAAAGAGGTTGTGGCTGATCGTCATAAGAGAGACCTTGCATTAATGAACATAGAAGCAGCTCTCAATGAGTTCATTCGTAATTCTTCTAAGAAACATTTTATGGAGATGCCAGGAGGATTTTTACAAGTACTGACTGCTGATAGAGGTGTATTTATAACTGTTCGTGGTTTTGTGGAAGGATTGATCTCTATAAATATAGAATATTTCAAGGGTGAGGAAGAACCACCTTTGTTTAATTACGAGGTATGTATTATCAGTCTCTTCATAAATATAGAGGTATTTGTTTGTTCAAGTTAATGTTTTATGGTTTGCTTGGCAGTATAGTGGGAAGAAAATACGGAATCAATTTTATTTTTCAGAGAATTTTAATATGATTTTGGTTTGATATAGTGTTATTTTATAAGTTCTCTCTGTGGATGATAAAAAAAAAAGTATTGGTGTAGGGCTCTTTCCATCATTTATGGAGGAAGATTTCATTAGATTTGGTTGTGATCTGAGAAACTCATTGACCATTCCTTTCAGGAGGGTCGATTGCTGGAGTCAAGTGTGCAATGCGCTCTCAGATCCAATCGCAGTAAGATGTTCCCTCCCATACGTCGTGGTGCTCCCTTTGATGTGTACCTTACCTCCTCAGGTAATTCAGGAGGAGGCACCCAAGCATGTGGTGTAGGATGGTAGCACAGCATAGCTCTGCTCCATGCTTAACCAGACATACTAGGCACTGCACAACACTTCAGTGTCTGTTTTCTGTACATATACAAACCAAGGAGTCAAAACTCTAAAAGAGAACTTTCAAATTTCTTCCTCTGACCTCAAATTTACTTTTTTTACAAGTATCTTTTACAAAGCTCATAATTCATTTTGATTTTTAGTGTAACTTTAACCCTTTTAAAACAATACAGTAAACAAAATGTTGTGGATCGTAAATATAATATTTGGTCTGTTGAATGTGCCTGCTGTGTTTTGCACTAACAGCTTTATTAGAGCCCTTATAGTTTTCCAAGAAAATAGTGTTAGTGATGGTAAGCATATGGTGTGCTGGAACAAAACTTCTGTGTGATATTGGTGAAAGTATATTGGTTAGAGTTTTGAAAGACATCATTCATCATCCCAGATCTATTAGCCTACTTTGGTCAAAGTTTATTTTATTATCTTCCATTTATCAAACCACTTATTTATTACTATTATTATTAGGTACTACCACCAGGTTGGCTTTGTTTCCATGTTAATCCTTTTTGCAGGTAGTTTAGTTTTCTAATAAATCACATTAATTTACATCATCACTAGCACTTCTACCCTTTGCTTTAGAGCTCCATGTCGGAGTTGGCTGTTATTTTTGCTACTTAATTATTTTCCAGTTGTCTGGTAATCTCCAAGAGGTTTTGAGTGATAAACTGCAGAGCAAGAAAAGCCACAGGTTACCAGCAATCAAGAGAGGTACTGTGGATCGATACTTCATAACCTCTGGTAAGTTAAATACCGTAGGGCTGCCTCCACAGTGAGCAAATTTCAGCAAAGGTGAAACCTCTGTCTAACAAGTGCGTGTGAGGTGAATGGAGTGGATATAATGTGCATGAGGAATGTAACACTGCAACAGTGTACAGAGTACATACATGCTAATTAGTTTGGTTGTTAGTGTGATCAATCATTTCCCACTTATTTTGATAGCAAGTATTGCAAATATAATCTTTCTTCTCTTTTTTGCTGCTAGAGCTATGCCTAGGCAAATGCTGTTGGTAATTTCATTAATTGCCATTACATCACATTGAAAAAAGACACCACCATTTTTGACACATTATTTTTTAAAGAGACATGGTAGGGATGTTAAATTTTTGCTCACAGAATTTGCATTTTTATGGGAATGATCAATCCGTACCTTATTTTATCTTACACTACTGTACACCATATTTTATGCATTTTTACTACTCACATTACATTTTAAATCTATTTCCAAAACCTGACATTTTGTTTTAAATACTTCAATGCTTGAATGTATTTCACAGATGAAAGAATTCTGGAGTATGACATTGATGAAGTGCTATTTGAAGAAAAATCCCCCTACCAAAAGGTTCAAATTGTTCATTCAAAAAGCTTCGGAAACCTTCTTCTTCTTGATGATCTTCAGAGTGAGTAACTTCATTGACCTTTCAAGACTTAACAAAGAAAATATTGTTGGACCTGTCTATTGTTATTTATATACTTACAGATCTTTCTGAACGGGATCTCATCTACACAGAGACACTCATGCAGCGAGGAAAAGAAGATTATCGTGATAAAGAGATTGTGATTCTCGGTGGTGGGGATGGTGCTCTTTTGTGGGAACTGTTAAAGGAACAGCCCAAGTTTGTGACTATGTTGGAGGTTTGTGTAATGTGCAGCTTTCATAATTATTCTTAATACTACAATTCTCAATTGTTATAACTTTCTCGTTTTGTGTGTTTCAGCTGGACAAAGTCGTTATGGATGCATGTAAGAAGTACATGCGAAGTGCCTGTGGTGATTGCTTGGACAATTACAATGGAAGTAACTATGAGGTGATTTGTGAAATCTTTCTATTATTCATATTTTGATTAGCCTCTACTTACTTTTGTTATTTAATTTTTTAATTTTCTTCTTGCAGATAATTGTTGATGACTGTGTTAAAGTATTGAACAACTACATTAAAGAGGGTCGTAAGTTCGATTATGTGTTTGGGGATTTGACGGATGTCCCAATATCTCCAACTCCTCAGGGTGAAGTGTGGGATTTCATTCGCCTGATTCTTAATAATTCTCTAAAAGTTTTGAAACCTGATGGAAAGTACATGACCCATGTAAGTCTCATCTCCTTTTTTAAAATTGTAAATTTACTTATGATGATTTATGGTAGAAGTTTTAATCTAAAATTTGGTCATTGTATTTTAGGCTAATGGAGCTTCTAGCCCAACTTCCCTGGAAATGCTTGAGAGTGAGTTTTCAAAACTGCAGCCCTCAGTAACTTTCACCCAAGATAGTGCATTTGTTCCCTCCTTTATGGAGGATTGGGTGTTTTACCAAGTGAGTTTTAAAAAGTAATGAGATGTACCACATTACTGGCTCAACGGGAAGTGATACCAAAGACCATAGTATTTACAACTTTTGGAATCAGCTATCAGTTTCCTGAGTTATTGTAGTTCCTTGTGTTCATTTGCATGGTGATCATCAGTTGGGGCCAAAAAGTACCTCTACAGTAGTTTGACGTTAACATTGTTGTATCTTGTGTTTTCTTCTTGTTCAATTGAATTTATATTGTGAAAGGCAATCAAAAATCTAACTACCAAGGGTTAGCCTAGTCATTTGAAAAGTAACTAGTCTTCATCACTTACTTTACTTAGGTAGTAAAATTGGAAAGGTTTTCAATCTTATTCCATGATTTGAATTAAAATCTTCATATTCTCCGGTTTTTTCCTTGTCTTACCATGGGACAGAAATGACAGTTATAATTATTATTATTTTTGCATTTTCAGAAGTATGTAACATGCATTTAATTTTATTGATGATAGTTGAAATTCTGCTTAGACAAAAGGCTGCATTTTAAATTTCCATTGAATGTTTGTCTTTTCCGATATTCTACTGTTTAGTTAGAGAGTCATTCAGCATTGGACTGAACTGTATTTTGTTCTTGTGCCAGTCCATGTCTACCTGATTATTTTGTGTCTTAAGTTAGCTTCAATATTTTTGTGTATGTTTTTTGTGCTTGTGTCATTGCTCAGTCACCGGGATATTTGAGAGCTTATTTGTTTTTCATTGTTTGTTCGATTGTGAAAGTTTAGTCATATTGGCGTTCCTACGTATTAAACTGAAGATGTACAACCATATTACTTTGTTGTAATTTACTTCAACCATCGGAATGTGTCCCTCCAGTACAAATACAAGTTTTGTTTGGTTACAGTTTTAAATAGACAACAATTCACATTCAGGTGAACTTGCTGTACGAATGCTCGAGCATAGTTGGGACGTGCTCGTGGGTGTTGGTGGTGGTGTTTGATGCTGGCGGCACTGCCTCCCCTCTTCCCACCACCCCTTTCGCCCCAACTTCGCTCTGAGCATTCCGCTCCACCTTTTGACTATAAGTGTGAATTGAGAGTTCACAAAACGCAAACGTGATTTTCACGCTCCGTAAGCCTCACGCAGCCATTGGGCAAACTTTTGTCACGCCTAGCGTGATAATCGTGCCCGCGTTTTGTAAACTCTGAATTCTTCTTAAGTAAGTTAATTTTGATTACATTTGAGTATTATAAATTCACAGCAAAATTAAAGCGACAGTTGAAATTATCAACACTTTATAAGTAAGGAATTTGTTACCTATTTCACCTTTGTTTTTTTTTTTTCCCTCGTGTATGAATCATGAACGCAAAGCTAGAGGCCAATCACACTCGAGGCTTTCAAACCCTCTACCCTTCAGACGAGTTTCCTCAAGGCAACGCGTATGCTTATATAGGTAAGGCAGTCTTTGTACTATAATGCCAGTCGAGTTGGACCGCTGAGTCACACTCTTGCCACGTAGGTCTCCACGTTGTCATGCGGGGGCTCTGTCTGGAACACAGGCGTGCCCGCCTCGTCCACGAACGACTTGTACGGCATGGTGTGGACGTGCTCAAAACCCAGCCGCGCCACGGCCTTGTGGGTGTAGTAGCTGGTGCACACGCAGCGCACCATGGGGACGCCCTGGGACCGCGTTACCTCCCTGTAGCGAAAGGCTAGCTTTAGACTGGATTTGCATTATGTTGTTCCATTGAGACACTCTGAAGCAAACCACTATAAATCAGCGATCTATTTGATTGAATCGCTGTAATGCACTTCCCTGGCCGACCGAAATAAAAGTCACCTGGTGTCAGACTAGCCATAGGAAAAACGTTTTCGTCACAAAATCGTGAGGCATATCGCAGGGACGTGTTATTTGTGAGTTATTTTTTATTTGCACCACCTATCACCATACAAACATCGAAACATCACGAATACGTCATATCGACGCTTTCATGCGAGACTAAATCAGGTCAAACCTAGGTCAAAAAATGACGCCGACAAGGTACCATTTTGAAGTATGACCTGTTTGATCTATTCGTGACGTCTTTCTGTTTGTTGAGGCATTCGCAAAAAAAATATACAAGTCATAAATCATGAAGATATCCCAATAACATAATTGTGAGAAAATGTTTTCCTTGGAAAGTAGTAACTTTAGTCATAGACCAGCAGCTATATTCGACAAAGACCAGAGAACGCACATCCTAGAATGAATTCAGAAATTTCGAGACGAACCTGCTTTGATCGATGAGTTGTTTGGCGATGCCTCGGCCCCGGTAGTCTGGATGCACGGAGAGGATCTTGATGTCCACGTACGCGTCCACGTTCGGGAAGCGCCCGAACACGTCGGCCTGGGCGTCAGCCTCGTCCAACAGCCGCACAATGTGGCGGAACTTGGTGTTCGGGATCCCCTCCGGCGGGGGTAGCTCCTCGGGCTCGGCGGGGCCCTCCTTGCGCCGTTTGGTGCCGCTGAGCAGGATTCCCACCACCTCCCCTGCAACGTACGAGCAGCAGTGAGCCGAGCACCTTCAGCCCCAGACATTCTCCACAACCTCCCCGCCGCCCGCAACGACCCTCCCGGTCCCACGTCGAGCTGACCTCCATGAAGCTGGCTCCACCCCGCCGAGCTGAGTGAGCGTCATCCTGCGAGGCTCGGGGTAGGCAAGCCCGCGACACCTCGGTGTGCGACGCGCCTGTAGGTTGCGTGCTCCGCCCGGGTCTCGAGGCACAGCGCTCACTCCTCACTCCTCCCCACAGCAGACGCTTGTCCGCTCTTAACAAAAGTGCCCACCACGAAAGATAGAGAAGTGACGTGGCAATTTCCCGATTTCGCAATGAGGATTAACTTGTGTATGCGTATGCGTGCTATGTTTGAGTAAATAAAGGCGCCGTGTACTACTGATGAGAAGGTGTCATTTTGCTAACTGCGTTTAGTCATTTTCTGGAAATTACTTTGACTCATTAATTGCGGAAAGAACGCGGAACGCCCCTTCCCTATCAGCCGGCTGTGGGGTCCACGCGCCCAGGGCCCAATGGCCGGCAGGCGTGCTGCGTGGGAGGGCGAGCTGTCCGACAGGCTGTCCCCCCGAGGCGGGGCAAAACTGTTTTTGTAAACTCTGCTACGTGCAGCTGCGGGGGTGCCGACCTCGACCCCAAACACATATACCGTATCCCCCTGGGGGACCGCGGCCGCAGTTCCCTGAAATCCCGCTGAAATTCTTCCATGTCTCCGCTCCTCCCAAGTCTTCCATCCTAAGTGCGCGTATGGATGAGAAAGCTCTCGACGTTCCCGAGTGACCTGAATAACCACCCAACCCACCTCTACTATCCTTAAATATGAATACAATCGTACACCAATTTTTCCTGTTTTTCTTGACTTTGTCTTCTTTTTTTCATGTTTTTTTTT